TGAAATGGCTCCAAAAAGCCGTTAGAAACATAATTCGCTCACTTGCAGTAATTTATTCCAAAAAATATCGATGTACATTTCGATGCATCGAATCAAAGAAAAACATCGTTGTATTTTTGCCACTGACATCCCTATAAAAAATGCAAATGCATAGATATCCGGGCCCTATCTATCAGATAACTTTAAAATGGAAATTTAAAGCAATTCCCATTCGTACTATCACTAGGTATGTAGATATTGTACATAATACTTCTATATTGATAGTACGTTGAAAGCCAACATTAGAGTGCATATATATTAGAACGAGAAAACCGACCAGCCAATGTACCCATAATGACGTTTGAAAACAACAAAAAATCAGGAGCGGTGCAGGTACCGTCAATATTTTACAAAATTAAATTTTAATTTTAAAAGCAAAAAATAAAAAATGGTGCGGAACTGTGCTGTTTGTAGAAGCAAAAAGTTAAGAAAAATAAAATCGTATTTTATGCGGCAGTATGTTGTCCTACTTGAAAATGAGCCGTATCAAGGAAAGCGGGCAGACGGTACATATCGGCTAAGGCGCTGGAAAGGAAGGCACGCAACCTCATGGTATACATATCTTTTAAGAGTGTTTACAGTGATCGCCTAACAGGTCTATTCTGCGCGTTACCGAAGATTTTGTAACCGGAAAATTATATTACCAAAAAATGTTACCAGTTCTTGTCACCGCGATTCTAGGTACGTTGGTAATGCAGTTAAAATATTCAGCAATTCAGCTATGAAGAATTGTGCAAATCCTGGCATTGAATATTTCACCGGGCCATAATTTGTTACCAGCATATGAGATGGTAACAAAATTTACCGGTTACAAGAGTATACAGAATGCGAAAAGGGTTTAGAAATTGACAGGAACTTTATTTACCGGTTACAAACTTTTTATTACTAGCGCAGAATAGACCTGTAAGTGTAACTTTTACATCTCTTGCTGCTTATTCAAATCCGCTTTGTGATAAAGCTTGCACCAATCACTTTCAGGAAGAAATTTTTGGTTGTTTATTTATTTTTAATTATATACTATTTTTTCTTTAAACCGCTCCTGGAGTGACTTGACAATGAAATCTACGAAAATTCTATCACTGAATGCGAATAGCCACGAACGTAGGGTATTCTTTGAATACACACGCTCGTAGCAATTCGGATTCAGTGATCACATTTTCGTACATTTCACGAAGTACGATGGATTCTGTGATATCCCCCAATATATCTACATAGTGGCTAATTTTAAGGTAAATTCGAATTAGTTTGGGAAAGGGGCGCGACACCTTTAATACAAACCGAAACCTACATAATGCACATCTCCGAAAATATTTAATATTTACGGGGAGAAGTGGAACTTTTTATGGAAAAAGGTATATGAAATTAATTTGATGGTGAAAAATTGAGGTTATTCAAAAGTAGGGCGTGGTATGTTCTATACAAACTGAAACATTGATAAAGCATACCCCCGGAAGTGTTAAAGTACCTATTTGTACAACATGGTATGTATGGAGGTATATGAAATCAAACCCATACTCAGACACCTTCTACACAAACTGAAGTTTTCATTCTCTATTTGAGACTATTTGGGGAAGTATACTGGAACTTGGTGTGGAAATATGGAATCACTCCCATACAAGGGAATCTTTGAATGACGACATTCCAAATAAAACTGTGTTGTCCCATAGGGAATTAATTTTAGGCTGCGCAACGTCTGCCGGGCCGGCTAGTAATTGTAATTTGTTCATACTTTGCACGATTTGTTTTTTTGAATTTCTTTACAATAGTGTTTTTTTGTATAAATATATGTGTATTCATTTATGCATGTATGTATATACACATGTGCACATATTCGAAGAAATCCTTCCTTGAAACGTGTTAATCCATCCCAGTGGAGACCAACCAGAGTTTTACGACGCCAAAGCCGCATGAATTACTGACAGGAGTTTTCAAAATGTCAATCATATCCAACTTTAGATAAAGACACAAGACAGAGGACAAATATTCACGAACACGTCACACAAAAGAGAATGTTTGTACTTGGGTTGGATTTTGAAAGGTGCGCAAAACAGGAGGAACAAAATTGAGATATCGACTCAGTAAACAGTAGGTACCAATAAAACAACAACAACCAGTGACTGAGTAATAAGTGAGATAAAGTATCTCCGTTATGACGAAGTGACAGGCGATAGTCCAGCGGTGCGCCCACAGTCACCAAATAACAGGGCGATGTATGCTCCCTCTGCGCTGACTTGTCTGCACATGAAACGTATGAGTATATGCAATTAACATATCTACATGTACATACATATTTACATATGTATATAGAATAGGTATGTACATACATTAGGGATGTCGGGATTTCGGGATCCCGGTCTTTTTTAAGTCCCGAATATCCCGGGATTAGTCGATTTAAATCCCGGGATTGCTGGAAACAATTTTTTTGTTGGCCAATTAAATTTTTATCACAAATATCCCCTCTCAAGGGCAAATTAAGAATTTTTTGCAACCCTTAGGGCCGTTTTTTAATGTAAGCAGTAAAGTTGCCTTTACTAACAGGGCAGATAAATTGTTCCTCACTTTAAAGTGTTTTCGTTTTCTTATCTTACCTGTAAAAATAAATTTGTTATTCCGTAGAGTGAAACTTCACTACATTTCCGAGAGTGGCACTTAACTGCATTCGTCATAAAATTCCAAAGGTTGGCAATGCAACATAAGCAAATATAGAGCAAGAGCAACTGTTAGCAAAAACCAAAACCTTGGTTGAAATATCTAATATATCTGATTCATAAACCAAACCCAAACCAAAATTTAAAGTTGGGTACAAATTTTGAAGGTTGCAACGGGTAAGCAACAATTTATCGATTCGAGAAATTAATGCGCTGATGAGAAAACGAAAACTCGTATATCGAGACGATAAAGTGGCCGGTAATCTAAAGCTTAGATGACAAAACGGCCCTTAATGCTTTAATTTCTTTAAGATCGCATTACCATCAAAAGAAGGAATAATTTTGCTTCGCTCGAAATGGAATAGGTGATGCACTTATATATTTATTGTTTACTTAAATGTGTTAACTTTTTTATTATTACTAAATATACTGATAATATCTTAAATTGATCTCAAACCGTGATTAAAAAAATTGTATATAGTTACATAGGCAGTTACTGCTGTACCAAATACAGTCACTTACAAAAATATTTTGCACCGACTTTTTTTGCAATATCCAAAATATTTTTCATGGTATTTCTTTGTGAATTAAAAAAAATATATAGCTCATTTTCCAACAAAAATCATGTAAATCAAAATTTCACACTTAAGAGAAAGTTGGTTTAAGTTCACCAAATTATCATAAAAATATCAAACTTTTTAATCATAATTTTTACAAAAAATTCTATTATGCAGTTTTATAGCCCATTCAATTTAATACAATAAAGTGCAATTTTAAAGTTGCTAAAAACTCCCTTGATTTTTGAATTTTTTTTACTGACGATGTTGGGCATTTTCTTCCTTATAACGAATTTTTTTGTAGCAAAAAAAAAAAATATAAAATGTCGACGGGATGTTTTTGCAACTTCAAAATTGCACATACATATATATTTTTTTAAATTAACAAAAAAAAATACCATGAAAAATATTCTGAATATTGCAAAAAAAATCTATGCAAAATATTTCTGTGAGTGACCGACCGTATATGCATTTGTACTTGTAGTACAAAAACTATGTTATAAATTAATGAGGATATGTACATACATACATATATGTTTGTCAAATTTTATGTTTGTTTTTTGTTGATTGAAAATACTGATTTATCGCCTTAATAAATATGTAAATGAATTACAATAAATTGTACTTTTTTTTGTTATATCAATCTGATTTAAAATACTATAATAGGATGATCACAGATGTGTTGCACTTTTGCCTGAATTTCGGGACAATCCCGGGATCCCGGGATCGACAAAACCCCGAAAAATGACATCCCTAACATCAATATGTATATATGGACATGTGTATGTGTATTTCTATCAATCGTACACATGTGTAAGAGTCCCATTGTGCTGCTAAAAAAAACTTTCAATGCCAATCCATGGAGGATGGCTGTCGGATGCGTAAATTGCACATGACATGTTGAGCAGCAACAACAACGCGCAACCCTCTGCTACTCTTGCCACAAATGCTCATACACACCTACCTACCTATATACATATCTACATATGTATGTATGTACTACGTACATAGTATGTACATTTATGTTCAGCATTCCCGAAAGTATAGGTAAGTAGGTATGAATGCGTGTGCATCAGCGACCAGTATCTGCGGCTAAAGAAAGATCTCCAGCAGCGTGGACGACACTCTGCCAATTACTGCACCCTGGAATTTCGTGACCACAATATATGCGCCAGGATATGAATATTTATTCTTCCTTTTTTTACAATTTTTTTATTTTTTGGTTATTCAATTACAAAAACTGTCATAGAAATATTTTAGTTAAAGCTAAGTCACAGACGTTTCAAGCAAAAACTAACTTCATAGAGGAGACATGTAGGAACGCGTGTAGCAAGCAAAACCCGCTTTGAATTTAGTCACTAGCCAGAAGCACTGCTACATAAATAGAAAACACGCGCGTACAAACAAAAACAAATACCTACCAGTGCTGATAACAATTTTTGCTGCACTTAAGAAAAAACGTATCGTATGTGTTGTTCCCTCACATGGAGACAAATGTGAATCGCCTTGTTGTGTTCACTCATAGGAAGCAAATCGTGCATACTTGCGTTGCTAAAAAGAGACCAAAATATATCACTGACTTAGCATCGAGAGGCGGATCCCGTCCAACCAGCTTTTGAGTCTTATCTGCAACGGTGGTGGGACAGTGATGGTGGTAATGCTCGTATTACTGTTAATGTAGTGGTTGCAGTGGTAGCCCCTGTAGTTCGCCAGCAATCGTGCTCTGATTCAGTTACGATTTGGTTGCGCGATGTTAATGAATATACGATGTCGAGGGCGCGTTCCGTTCGAAATTTAATAAATGACTCGTAGAATAATTGACGCGCCGTCGAGTTGTTATCAAATCTACCAAACAGAGATATTGGATGTCTGCACATAAATTAGAAAAGTGTGTATTTTAAATTGTGAGAGGTTTTTACCTAGCTCCCAGTTGTTCAAGTGATCGACACGAATTACCCATAAGTGCTCAGTGCTTTATAATACTACATATTAAAAAAAAACGTATCCATGATTCCCATGTACCCAAAAATATGTCAATCTGTGAAAATTGATTAGGAATTTGTGCAAAAGTATAAAAATCGAAAGTAAACCGCTAAGCAATATTGAAGCATTTAGAGACTAAAATTAATATATACACGTATTATATATACACACATACATACATATATACATACTAGTGGAGAGTTTCGCCGGGCTAACTTTCAAAAACCACTTGAAACCACGTGAATCGTACACCTCCTTCGAGCTTCTGGTCCCATCAATATGATGGACGTAAGCAGCATGTATGGCAATCATCATCCACACCACCAGAACAGTTATCACGACAGTAGTACTGCCTCAGCTGCTGACATGGCTGCTGTTGCATCCTCCACCGGGTACCCGAACGCCTATTTTCCAGGAGCGGCCACCGCAGCAATGCCGTCGCATCACCATCAGGCTCACCATCACCAGCACCATTTAGGATATACTGGCTACGTCCCAGACGGTGCGTCGCCTAATTACTATACACAACAAGCACAATTAACTCCACCGCCATCGTCTTTGCAACAAACCTCAGCGGGGATAAGCCAAAACTCGTCAAGCGGTACGCCGCACCAACATCAACAACAGCAGCCACATACACAGCCCCAACAACAGCAGCAATCCATGTATCCTCATGCTCATCTTTTTAGTCCAAGCGCTGCCGAATATGGCATCACAACATCTTCGAGCACAGGCTCAATAACCGCTACAGGCACTCCATTGCATCCGTCAAGTCATTCCCCGACAGACTCCTATTACGAAAGTGATTCAGTACACTCCTATTATGCAACGGCTGCTGTTGCGGCAATACCTCCTTCCACCAATTCTCCCGTCTCCGCCTCCAATGCAATTCAAAACAATCCACCTGCGCAGATTGACCCGCCGATCATAAGCTCAGAAAATGGCCTGAGCTATACTAATCTAGATTGTTTGTACAACCAAAATGTTGTAACGCACGCACAACAACGACAAATACAGCACGGCTATGCCTCATTGCCTCATAATACTGGAGCTAGTGGTGGTGGTAATGTGGAGGAAAAATATGCAGCCGTATTGCATTCAACGTACGGAACGGCAGGCTTAGCCTTCGACGAACCCCTTATGCAAATGTCAGCCAGCCAACAACAATCACCACCACAGATGTGGCATCATCAGCATATAAGTGGTGGTTACAGCATGGATGCTGGCATTCCAATTGATGCTTTGGGCATGCATCCCTTGAATATGGCGCACATGCAAACGTTGCCGACCCCTCAACATCCGCATCAACAGCAACATCTGCAACAACAACAGGCACAATTACAACAACACGGGTCGCCAAGTGGACCATGCATAACGACGCGAAGTCAACAAGTTGTCTCCCCTGACGGCACGGGATTACCCTCATCGCCAGGATCCTCATCTAGCCAAGCTGGATCACAAAATAAATCTCCTAACCAAGCAAGCAATTTGCCAACATATAAATGGATGCAATTGAAAAGAAATGTCCCCAAGCCACATGGTGAGCAAACCTTACACGAATATTGATAAGCAGTGATGCTCAGCTTTAAGAATAATTCAGTTTCAATTTGAAAAAGAAATATTTAATTTTGTATGCGTTGCTGTGTATGCAAGATAACTTAAGAAAAAGTTTCAGTTTCAGTTTTGATTGGACGTGTTACAATTCTGAATTATTTAAATAAAGATATTTGTGTTTAACCCTAGGATAGGCAACACTCTGGGAGGCGCGAAGTAAACCAACTTGGCCTAAGTAATAATAGATTGGCGCTTACACATATGTATGTATATTAGAGTTTGGCCGAGTTTCTCCTCCGATTTGTGGCGTGCGCCTTGATGTTGTCACACAAAGGGGAGGAACCTACAGTTTTACACCGACTCCGAAGAAGAGAGAGCTGTTCTTCATGGCAGAAATACGCTCGGAGGTTTGCCATTGTCTGCCGAGGGGCGACAGCTCTTAGAAAAAACAACGTTGTTTAACTTTTTTTTATTTTTTTTTATTTTTTGTTGTTGGGTTGAGCCGGGCTTGAACCCAGGCCGATGTGAGAAATAAAAAAGCGATTTGAAAACAAATTCGAGGCAATACACTTTCGAATTTCTGAGCGTATTGAAAGTTGGTTTATGCTTCCGTTTTGAATCACAGCGAACTGGGTCAAAGCGCTTTATGTGTTGGAATAAACAAGGTAATATAAAACAAAATCTTGTTCATTTCATAATAGAGCATACAACAACAACACGTTGCTTCAACGGTTGCCTCGTGTGTAGTCAGCATTATAAATTGGAGTAGGTCGTCGTCAATTTAGTTTATGACCGGGCAAATCCAAAATTTACATCCTACTGAATTTATCGCGAAAATTTAGGAATTATGGTATAGAAAAAGTCCTCAAACATGACCTGCAGTAGAATTCTGATAATCGCTACGCTAAATTTCCATCGCTAAAATTCTCTAAATTAAAAGCCATTGGCCTAAAGTACGCAATATGGAAAAGTAACAGAAGCAAAGTGTAATCAGGCAAATCTGGCAGTGTCAGGGGCATGTAACTAAACGTTGCATGCTTTTAAGCGCGCCTGCTATTCTTTTGGAGACCATTAGCGATCAAAATTTGCGATAGCGAACGCTGGAATTCAGCTGCTGGCTCGCTAAAAATCCAGGTAGCTGTCGATATTTGGGTTTCATTGATTAAGAATTTAAGCTATAAGTAGATATCCTATCGATTTCGATACTGACCATTATGTCCATCAGAAATCATGTGCAACGTATCAACACATGATCTGTTAATTACTATTTTCGGCAAAACTGGTTTAACATGAGCCCAAACAACATGAGCTTGGTGTTATCACCTCCGACAAATTTCTCGAAATGACGATACCGCCATTATCGTATTTTATTTTTTGTATTATACTTAATGTTAAACTTAATATTTTTGAGATTATGTTACAGTTGCCGCGGCTACTTATCTCGATATTAAGAATAATATATGATTGTAACCTAAATACCTTTTACAAACAGCTTTCTCTAAGAGCCAAATTCACAGTGCGTAGTTAACTCAGAATCGGCAGTTAACTACAGATTTTCAGTACTGTGAATTTGGCCCTAAATGATGCTGAGTTGATATACGCTATACACATTTCCAATTTAAATGGACTTACCTCTTTTATTTATTTATTTATAAATATAAATATAAAAATAACATGTCAAAACGTACTTTGGAAAGACCGCTATCAGTACAACCTGACACGTTTAGCAAAATTTTAGGTTTATTCTGCTTGCTGAGATGTTTGAGGCTTGCCTTAGCCTCTGTCTGATTCCTAGATGATGGACCAAGGCTAGGGTAATCTTCATACCGAAAGGTGGAAGGGTCTCTCACGTCAAACCCAATGACTTCAGGACAATAAGCCGAACGTCCTTCTTAAAACTCTAGAAAGACTTCTTGACGCCCATATCAGACAGCGCCATTCTTCTGGGGACGTGTCGGAGTGTCAACATGCCTTTTATAAGGGTAAATCCGTGTTCACTGCGCTTCAGGAAATTGTGTCCAAAATTAAACAAGTAATTTTTAGCAAAAAAAAATGACTTGAAACAAATTTTTAGATATATATATTTCATGATCCAATGATAATGATAAACCAGATTAGTATGGGACCACCTTTGAGTTACTACCTTTCCGAAAAGGAATTATCGAAATCGGTTGACATGGTCCAAAGTTATGCCGTAACATATATAAAAAAAATAAAAAATATTCCGACGAACTGATAACCTCCTCCTCCGGCCTCTTGTATAGCTGATACGGCTTCTCCTTGAAAGAAGAATTATCTCATCAGAATTGGGGGCGCGTCCGTAACCAGGTATGCAACGAGACATACTCCTCAAGGAGGAGTTCTCTCCCCCTCCCCCCCTACTCTGGAGCCTCTGGCGGTATTGCACTCACAACAACGGGAAGCATCTCCAAACGCTAAGCGAACTTTTGCAGAGCGCTCTCTGTCTCGTGAAGAGCTGATCGAGGGAGTGTGGACTTAAAGTCAATCTCCGCAAGACCGAAATGATACTATTCACGAGGAAATATAAGATACCGGCTTTTCAGTCCCCCTCCCTAAACGGGGTGGGACTTACACTCTCCAACGAGGTTAAATATCTCGGTTTAATTCTCGACAGAATGTCGGACTGGAAGCGAAACCTTACCGAACGATCCAGGAAAGCCATTACCGCAGTTGTCTGATCCATACCTTTCTATGAAATCGCCGTATGGCTCTAGAAAAATCATTTACAGAGGCGTATTGGACCGGGTGCAAAGGGCGGCAACCATGTTAATCACGGGTGCCATGCCTTCTACTCCCAGTAAGGCTCCGGAGGCTGTATTGAATCTTCTCCCTACCGATCTTTATGGTAGATACCAGGCCGGCTGCAACGGAAGAAGACTGAATGCAGCGCATACATGGAGGGACCTTAGGTTCGGTCACTCAATAATTCTGGGCACCATTCCAGCAACCCTATACAAGCTATATTACACTAGTCCGCATTTCTGCTTCGAAAATAGGTTTTCTACCAGAATTCCAGACAAAAGTGACTGGGTAAACCGCTCTCTCTTAGATCCAGGACCTACCACTATCTTTACGGATGGGTTAAAGCTCGACAAAAAAGCTGGAAGCGGGTTCTACTCTAAAGAACTCTCACTAAACCTAAGCAGGCAGCTCCTTGAGCAATGCAGCATTTTTCAAGCCGAATTAATAGCCATAAGGGAGGCCGCCCTATGGCATAAAAATTACACAAATTGTCTACAATCTGTCACTATTTATTCTGACAGCCAAGCAGCGATTGAATCTTTACAGTGCAGTAACACTTCCTCAAAAGTTGCTGCCGAATGCATAAGTACCCTAATCGAGCTTGCCGCGAAAGTCACCATTAACGTGGTATGGGTACCTGGGCACATTGGAATACCGGGAAACTGCGTGGCAGACGAGCTTGCGAGGAGGGAACTGAACTACACTCAGCAAACTCTGCGCTCGATGCAGGCTCGATGTCCTTGAGTAAGCGCCGACTGAAATCTATCTTCATTAAAATGGCCAACGAACGTTGGACGAAAGAACCAACATGTTCTGTTACAAAACGGATCTGGCCTTTTATAAACGAAAAACTATCTAAAACTCTTATACATTATTAGCACAGTTGTCGGTATAATTACAGGACACTGCCTAATGGGAGTTCATGCTAGGCGAATGGGATATCCCGCTAACGATTTCTGACATGTCTGCAGGGACGAGTAGGAGGTGGAGAGCGTAGAACACTATCTCTGCCACTGCCCCGCTCTGGCAAGGTCAAGACTTGCTATTTTCAACGAACATGCTTTTCTGTGTTTAGCCGATCTCGACTCTGTGGACGTCCGCGACCTTCAACGATACGTTAAGGTTACACGATGGTTCTATCATTTGGGAAACTAAGGGAAAGAAACAAGAGCTCGCTCACAATGGCATCACAATGGGTCAAAGTGGGTCAGTGTGGCTCTCCGGTCCGTGCGGAGTGACAACCACCGCACTATGGCAAATTTGAGCCTATTTTGTGGCCAAAAGTCAATTTCTTGACTCGAAAGTAATTTTTTTTTCTTATTTTACAGAGAATACTTCAGAGTAAAAACTGTATACAGTATATTTTGCTTTGCTGCCTTTATGCTTGAGTGCACATTTAAGATACCTACCCTAAAATGCGCATTAGCGGCATTATTTTTAACATTTATAAGGAAACTCCTCCGATAGGTGCATTCAACATACCTGCACATTGGCGATACCTGCCTTAAAAATTGTGCAACTATTATTAACTATCAAAGAAAGTATTAGGTTTACCTGCACTGGCTCTACAATTACCTAATTTTAAGCTTTTATTTATTTTTCTCATCTCGCAGAACAACGAAAATGGCTATCAATTATGTAGTTATATAGATAATTAGATACCATTCGGTAAACATTTCGCTTGCAGTAATTTCTACGAGGTAAGTGCTTCTCCATTATTAGGTTTCATAGGGATTCGGATACCTTCCTCATTGAACTAGTAAAGAAAATTCGCTTAAGTGCTTTTTCAGGTTAAGTGCACAAGTTTTTCGTGCAAAGAAGGGTGGGCAGCTAAGCAAAATATACTGTACTCTGTTTTTCGATAAATTGACTTACCATTGATTTGGTAACCCTCAAACAGATAGTTTCGAAATTTTCTGTAAACGAAAAATGTGTAGCTTGATTTTGTGCCACTTTCAAATGCGTGTATCTCGTAATCTATTTGCTGATTTTCAAAAGTGAAAAGTGGAAAGAAGGAGTGACGGTTAGCAGAATATTTACCAATTAAAACTTGTATTATAGTTTAAAGGTTGTGCCAAAGAAACGTCCGCATTTACGTGACTTTAAAGTGAAATTGTACAACTAAAAAATAAGTTTATTTAGTGTTTTAAAAAAATCTGTAAAAACGTTTAAAAAAAACTCATCATAAATCGGTAGAATAGTCCCTGATATCTTATTTCCCCATAATCTTGTACTGCGACTTTGTGCGATATTAATGAAATTATAATTCTTCTTAGGTAACTACTTGGTACAAAATCATGAGTTTTATGAAATAATTCCCGGTGTCATAAT